CACTCGGGGAGAAACATGGTGTTGGCTGATGTCAATGACGATTTCAGGGCCTATGTATGGGCAAGTGATTGATTCCATCACTGGAACAGAAGCACTTCCACCGATGCCCACTACGCCGGAACCTATCGTACTACCCTGTACAACATAGTAAGTTTAGATACGGAAGTAGTACTTTTCCAGGACCGAGGCTAGTCAAAATAGAACAAGGAGTGATAATAGATTTTTCAATGGCTCTCAACCTTCAATAGGCCGTCACCATTGCGACTTTGATAAATTTCGTATCAAAGGCTCCCTTTGGTTTCGAGAGAGCACCACACGAAGCAAAAGAAGGTAAGCAAAAACGTATTGCGGGCAGCTAAAGTCCCAGAAGTGGGATGGCAGATTGCAATGTAATTAAATTACCAAGATTCAGGCAATTCTCTCCTCTATGGGATGAATCTCCACTCTCACTCCCTGCACCTTCCCGTCCTCTTCACCTCCCTTACTTTCCGATGGTTGAAGCCATTGAAGAAAAAAATTGAATCCATCATCTTCAGTTCTTGCACCACCCTCTCCAGTACTGACAATTTCAGAAATAACAAAAGAAAAAACTCGAAAAATTCTCTGGGTCTAAAAAAAGCTTCTGTCAAGAAAACAAATTGTGAAATCCACCAGGTCCTCCGGATCTCCGGGTCCTCTTGGATGGAATTGTAACTGATGTACGGACACCTGAATACTGGGATGACATTGTGCCAGTGGAACTTCCATGGATGCAAAGAGGTAGGAGTCACAAAATAAGATGGTATTTTTCTGGGATGAATCAGAATTAGGAGAAATATCTGAAGGGACGACCTACCGAGAAGCCTAAGATAAACAGACCTGTGAATTTCACATTTGTGAATTTACTCTTTTTAGGAAGGCAACTCAAGAAACCAGCACATATCATGGCCACACCACCAAAACCCGTGATCAAACCAGGTGAAATAACAGCTTTTTGTTCAATAGCGAAAGCCTACTGAAAGTATCAGTTTTAATTATTCAATGTTCACTCATGAGAAGGGGAGGTCGGTTCAGTTCTGCAGCCTATTCTGCAACTTCCGTCCTAGGTTTCTACCTACCTAAATATGTACAAGCTGCTGCGCTCTCAACCGGCACTTTGGAAAGGCAGCGCAGTAAAGTTACAGGGCACAGTTGGGGAACGATGAGAAGAAAGGGATATCATGAGGTGGCTTCATATGAAACATTTCGCTTCCATCCGAAAGTCGTAATGGCACTAGGGGACACGAATCGCATCCATCTCCAAGCTTTCCCAGTCAGTCGAGCTTTTTGAAGCCTTAACGTTTGCATGGGCGCAAGGCTAACTTCTGCGTTGGGAAAACTTTGAGCCCCAGGCATATGCGTAACGGGATCCTTTTTCGACCCCAATAGATAATTTCAATCAGAGAAAAATATATCCAATGTACTTCCAGGAAAGGCAAAAATAAAGACTGTCCCAAATCTTCAAAACTCTCAAAAAATCTCTCATATCTAGAAAACTTTACCATTTCTCTTCAGTTACTCCGACTTCGAAGGATGAAACTGTGAATGGTGAGTGGATTCCCAGGTGGAACCCCTGGTATGGACCAATGGGATTTCCATGGATTTGCAAAAAGGTAGGAAGGCGCTTTGACTCTATTATTATTCATCTGAAACGCTACACAAGGTAGTCGTGGGAAACAACATAAGGTCAGGGGTAAAAGGTGCACCATTCAAGTGTGAATGGGGACCAGGGGAAACCTGTGAAGCTCGCAATTGCAAATCTATCCCTTTTGGGTAAGCCTCTCACAGAGAACACAATGAAAAGTATTTTTCGATAGACCAAAAGCAGTAGTTCCAAATTTCATGGCGATGGAACTTTCAGGCGATGGACCAACAGCTCCCGTCGCAGGAACCCCTGCTGAGTGCCACCGTTGATTTCACTAAATTCAATTCGATGGCTTGATTATTGGTCGAATATTGCTTGTCAATTGGATGACAGCTAAAATACTCGGTAGTTTTTCCAATAAAGCTTTAGTCATACCGAGTCTTTTTCATGGTGTTTTTTTTGTTTTCTTCCATACCAGTCGGCAAGATTAGAAGGTAAAAGCCTCAATGAAAACTTTTCCACGGGTATTTTAATCCGGGGTCCTTCTTCTTGGGACCTGCCTCCTACGATTACGAGAATTAATCTTTCAACAGCCACTGTGAGATGCTCGGTGTCGATGAATCCCATCCATTTTGACACACATTAAAACTCCATCCTCGGACCTTCAAAAGTCCTTCTAGCGTTACGGAGAAAGAACGTTGTTAGTGAGATAGTACACGTTACACTTTGCTACCGTACACTACTCCATGTGAAGAAACAACACTCTCGTCGCCTCTCATCCCAAATTACAACCCCTCCCCCAACTCGTTCGTGAGGAAAATGTCAACGGACAGCTAACCCTTAAAGAATAAAGTTCTTATGGAACCGCATTAAGATATAATATTAAGACAAGGACACTTCGAGTGCCGATTTCTTCTGATCAGGAAAAGATGATGGGTCGAAGTGAGCATATGGAATGAGACCTACACTGTTGGATGTGTTTTTGGACGCTGATCTCGAATCTGCTTTCCAAATCTGCCAAACGATTTTCTGAACGAAGTTATGAACAAACTAGAGCAGCGGCTAGTGATTCGGGATCACAGGCGAGAGATTGTAGGATCGATTCCCCGACGGAAATGCTTGCCATCGCAGCGTCACGTTTAAAAGGCTCCTAACTACGCTACTTGATCAACCTAGACGCCATATGCTTATAGTTTCCCGTAGGAAGAGTTTGCGAAGAGTTCCTAAAAAATTTGGGTGCTACTCGGTAACGACTGCACCTGGACCTGCAGAACTCTTGACTGACGTTTTTGCAGCAGACAGGTTTGAATTTGTAGCCAAATCGTCCCTCAGGAAATTCATCCTACGACCTCTCGAATGAGTCCGTACCACTACCGCTGCTCTATAGGGGTTGTCCGTCAAATTTCCGCCGATTTTGACATTGAATTCAAATGCGCATATCTCGGTTCAAGCGTAACGCTTCGATGGAAATAAAAGATGTTATAATCTCCTATACGCTTCTCTTCAAGATAGGTGTTAAAACATAACAAATGTTGGAAGCCCTGGAATTCTGTAAGCGATAAATCCGGCGAAGGCCAGTTCGGCATCAAGCTGAACTTCGAAACACTTCTCTTCGGAGAAGCTATCCAGGCGGTAAGAAAAGTGGCAGCGGATATGCAAGAGGTTTGGTGAGTAAGATGTTAGCAACGCACTTTAGTAGCCCATCTAGTTCAATTTCTACAGGTCAGCGCTGCGGTGTGGGTTCGAGACACATCGCGGGAGGAGTCATTCCCCTTTATGATAATTCTTATTGGGCGCACTCATTAGTTTTGGTGTATTTGACACTTTGTTGAAAGTAGAGTCCTCTGCAACATTTCCGTCTGGGCTTGAAGAGCCGCACCTGCCACAATCCTTGTGAAAGTGCTAACAACTCTGCCCTCGTGCATTTCACCTTTTAGAAAACCTGCTGACCCTAATCTCGACTGAAGCTTTTAGAGGAGCTCGTCGATTATTGCCACGAATCTTTTCTGTGTTGCACGTTACAACCCAATCAAAAAAGGGTCGTTTTCAGTAGGCAGAAGAGGGTAGAAGGAGAGCGGATGAGTGTTGGAAACCGGGACTCTCAGCGCTACACGCTTGTCGACTTTTTCAAAATTTTCAGCCTTCTGCATTCATTTTAAAATCACAGGTGGGCTATATTAAATTTAGTATTGGCTCCTCTACAGTTCTGTGCAGATTTAGTCAAAATCCTTAATTAATTTTTATTCATGTCCGATATCCAACCTCTACCCTCTTCATCTTCGAGGCTCTCGCAATTTCTGGAAAAGCTATCTGAACCATTGCTGCACAGCGCTGTTTGTGAACCATACAATTAGGACCAAACACATAGCTGATAATTGCGACGTGCTCGCCCCCCTTTCTGGCTATTTATGATTGATATGGGAGTGATGGAATCGCCTTTTGACCAGGTGGTTTTCAAGGCTTTAGAAAAGTGGCAACAACTATTTTCGAACAAAACTGACACTACCGCTAGATAGAGCGAGAAACGCGCTTTAAAACGATATGCAAAGCTGTAGCAAGTTACTAAAAATTAGTTGAGAACTAACAGAAGCCATTCAAGTAGGACTACGAAATTAACTGAAACCACCTCTAGCCTTTTTCCACCAATCTCCAACATCGTAAATTCCGCCTTCCACAAAACACTACGAAAAAAAAATGGAGTGAAGAGCGACGAGCTGGCCATGAGAAATATTGCCGGCTATTGATTTACCTAATACTTGAGGAACACGTTGAAATTTGAACACATATTCAAATGGATATAACTTTGTTCAGAATGGACAAGTTTTCAATCTGAAAGCAAATTTGGAGGTTTTCGACGGTTTTTCAAACTGTATCAAAATTATGAAAAGTGGATAGTGTAAGGACAAGGTCGATTAGCGTGGAAAGACGGACGAGTGCAAGTTCTGCAGTTTTCAAAGCGATAATTTCCTTCAATTTCATTCTTCTGAACAGTTGATATTGCGTTGTAATCTAGAATATTTGCACTACTCAATGCTTGTTAAAGTGTGTCTTGCTCAGTATGCCAGGAACGGCTCCATTGAGGGATTTTGCTAAAATAACGAGGAAAATTTTTGAGAAGCGCGGGTTTTTACACTTTTCAAAGAAGTAACTATGATCAATTTCATAAGGGTGAAGGTATAGCGGTGGGAGACAAATCTCGGAAAAAATCCCTGCTCTATTCGGTGAGTCAGGGAATGATGATCAATACGGTTCAGTAATGTTTGTGTTAAAAGAGCTGCCCTTGAAGTGTTATTTTTGTTATTTTTGTCAAGTGCGACAGAGATTCTCCCTTTTTTATGTATGTTTCACTCTTGAATCCACCATGGCTCCATTCGAAGCGACATTTTTCTCCAACGAACATGAAAACTGATTGGCATCAAAAGCTTCCTGTTTCGTAGCAACACCGAATAAATACAGGTGTCAAAATAGGCAAACAAATAACCGGTATACTACGAGAGATATTTACCATCGAAACGACGAGGTTATTATTGTCAAAATATCAAGCTCCAGTTCAACTATACTGTGCGAAAAAGCACAATTTTGCCTCTTAGCATTCATGCGCATTTCTGGAATCCCATCTCGATCTTTTGCGATTTCCAGTTCTGCTCTAGTGGGATATGAAGAATCATCCACGCGTGGAGTGGGACACATGATAGGCCCTTCGCGTTCGTCTTCTCCGCTTTAGAAAATGGCGTATGGAGGGGATGAGTCAATTTCGAGGTGCGGTTGAACACGGTTAGTCAAGAATAAAGGATAAAGCATTTGCCGTTGATCAATCCCTTTTTGGGATGCGGCACGCATTCTACTTCCATTTGTACATTCGTAGTGGCGTTTGAATATACAATGACTTGCGGGGCCAGCCGATGTACAAGTCAGTGTTTTTATCCTCCCAGACAAGTCTGGTACCAATTAACCGACCCCGGAGGGATGGAAGGCTTGGTTGGCCCGGGCGACTCACGACCCAGGATTTGATCCCTGGCCCGCGTGCCACTTGCTACTACACCACTTCCGCCCGTGTACTTAATACCATGTAATAATTAATAAGAAAAAATATTAATATCATAAGACTGGGATCTTCACCTGAGCTTCATGGCCCAAGTTCAGCGACGGTTTCTGATCTGGAAGCCAGTACTGTTTTCTCCGGGACTAACTCAACCCAATCAGTTGTTTGGAAACAGGATTGTCGCGCCCGCTCAGAGCTGACTAATGTTTGCCGACGAACCGTGTTGTGTGCATTGGACACACACACGCTGGAACATTCATCCGTTCAAACGAACATTTTCTTCATAGAAATCTTCCATTTTCTCTTGATACTCACCAATCAATTGCCGAGATACCGAATCTACGTGCAATATTTGGGAGTTTTGGTCATCATAGAAGAGACGTTCACGGAAAAATCATGATCCTGTCTCACTCACAAGTCACTAGCCTGAGACCCATTATCATCGATGAGAACGAAAAACAAAATATTGTGAATTGCTTTTGATTACTACGAAATATTGGGTTAGTTTTCATGAACAATTCGAAAGACCGAGGCTCTCTTACGTTCAAATTCCCGCCGTACATCTGTCACAAATGCTGGCAATGGGAACGATTCTACTTCTTTCCGTGCGTTCGCTGAAACTCTTCTTGGCCTTTTCAACCTATGGCAGTAACATTCGCTTTTCCACTGGATCCTATTCTTCCGATCGTTTTATCTCTACT